TGTGACCTCCTCCGACCAAATTCGTGACCTGAGGGGACTGACATGACCTTTACCTGAGGTCAAAATACTAAGTTAATTTCACCAAAACAAAAAGTATATTATTTGACGCGTCTGAGCATGATTCAACTCACAAGGTGGTGTTAATCGCGGCTCTGTGGCCATTTGAAGCGAAGCTATTCACACAAAAAAAAAACTATCTACTACCTCGGGGCATTTGACCTGACCTCTGAGGTCAACGGTTGACCTGAAATCTTAAAATCATGTATCAGTAGTTGCGTTTCATAGCGATGCACACACTCGTTTATCTTATGTTCTTATATTTTTATAATACATGAGGCGAAACTGTTAATTATCTAGGGGCGAAACTGTGAGGGGCTACCTTCCTCATTCCCCTCTCGGCACCGGCGCATGTAGAAGACCGATAAGTCTGGCGATGTTTAATCGGATTACGTGATCTAGATATTCAAGATTTATTGATGTCATTTCTGCATTTTCATTATTGCCTTGAGGTTTCGTTGTTTTTTTGTTTTTTTGTATCATGCGTCCCGCTTTAATCCGCGCCGTACTAGGGGGAGGGTGCGTTTTTATGCCTCCCCCTCAGCTTTTTGACGAATATGCGCCACCCGTTTTGATACGCCTGTTCATACATCTTGTCCACACAAATTATGAAAATTTCAGACCTGGGTCGTTCATCAGGTCACCAGGTCACGGCAAGTGACCTTACCTCAGAAAAAGTTCAAAGGCCCGCTATAGCTACACCGACTGAACGATCACTTTAAAACATTCAGCGATTGATAAGAATAACTATGTATAAAATATATATCTTGGATTTTTGGTATCTGTGACCTAAGGTCTGGTCAATTTGCGATATCTCCATTATAAGTCAATGGGATAAAATTGAAATGCACCTCTTTTGGACGAATGTCGTTCAAAACCCTCTCAAACGACGGTTCTTGGGTAAAAATGACACAATGAATCGTAAAATGCACCTGTGACCCCTCTGTGTGCCACTGAAGTCATCTAGCGTCATGAAAAGTCACCAGCAGTTTTTTTTTTGCTATAACTTTTGATAGAGACGCGCTAGAGCGGTGAAACCCTGTCAGATGTGTTCAGCTTGACGATACGGATCGACTGATACGCAACATGACCCTTTCCGGTCAGGTCATGACCTTGACCTGAGGTCAAACTTTTAAAATGACCTTTCAAGGTCAACGTATATGTAGTTCATTCGATGCGTCTCGAAAAGAGGAACACGATGCTGGCAAAAGTAATGTCGTGGCTCTCTTGAGTCAAGTTATTACCGAAAACATTTTTCGTGAAAACGGCTACCGTAAAGTGGGGCTATTTGAGACAGTGGGGCTATTTGAGACAGTAAGGTAATGGTATAGTAAAATCGCTGTAAAATGAAAACCGATTGATGTTTTTTCGTCATTTTTGCTTAGGCTAATGTGGAATTGAACAGTGAATGCTCTGAATAACCTTTTTGAAAATTTCGAAAAGTTCTGAAAGAAATTTGCAATAAAATACGAAATACAGAAAAACGCACAATTTAAGTTGCTCGAAAAGGACCCCTACCTGCAGCTTAAAAAAGTTGAAGTTTTAACAGCTTCGCCACTGTATCTATCGTTACTACCTTTTTGCTTATAGGCTAAGCACATTTTTCATGAAAATATTATATATTGTTAACGGTGCTGCCGATTGCGTAACCCATTGTCTCAGAATCCCGATGATAACCACCTGGTCAAACCTCAACGGATATGCCAAATAGCTGATGATAACGGTGATGCGATGCACCCGAGAAGACTTACCGCCATCTACCTGAAGTGCATCGAACGTTCGACATAAGCAACACCGGTGAATCGGTCGTGGTCATAAACGTGCAGTGGGTTCATGGTAGGTACTTTTAGCAGCAAGGAATATTTACATGTTCGTAGTGTAACATAATAACCCTTTAGCTGGTGACCAAACTAGTTATTCTGATGAATATGTGCTTAAGATGTGCTTCATCAGTCACTGACTCATTCGACAATCAACATATGTCTACCTTGGTTGACCAAAAAACACCATGGAATGTTACTTAACACATGAACGTACTGTTAGCTGAGCCTATCCAAGTACTTGATGTGGTTGGGTAACCGGCCAATTGATACAGCATTCAGCGATCGAGGAAAATCGGCATAAAATCAAAACCGTTTAACATTTTTCTGTTATTTCTTCGCATGGAGATGTACAATGGAACAAACAATCATGCAGACCATCCACTCAAATGTTTTGGGAACCTTTTGCCTTGTTTGTTTCATTACAGTGTGCTTCATAAGGTAGCGAGACTGTCTCAAATAGCCCCACCGACTTTCGGTATATCTGTTTTCACGTCACCGGGGCTATGTACAAAAACTTACTTTCAAAATTTTACTGTCGATGACTTTAAAATAGTCCTTGATGATCATCCTGTCAGTTTGAAAGCTATGGGTCACATCATATTATGATAGCCTTAGCATATAGTGATGCAATTTTATACCCTACCGAAATGAAGGGTCCTACGAAAAAGGAAAAGATTGAATAGAAAGGTCATATAACAGTCTAAAAAAAAACAATTTTTGCCAAAATGATCAAAATTCAATTTCCAGATGCATGGCATTAAAAAAATTATCTCTAGCGTGACCGATTTTCTTTAATTTCTTTGCAACTAAAACTGTCTCAAATAGCCCCACCCTATGGGGCTATTTGAGACAGGCTTTAACATAAAAAATAACCTTAATCATTATTACTAGCTGAACCAAAATACATCTATATGAAAGAGCTCACAGAGAACTACATTTTTGCAATTTACATGCTATAAGAAATATGAACCGTCTTAAAGAGAGAGGCCAAAAACTGTAAAATCCGTTTCAAATAGCCCCACTTTACGGTAGTTTTAGTTTTTGCCCTCTGGAGCCTAACCGTTGACCTGATGTCAAATCTAAGAACAATACCCAGAAAGGTCAGTAAAAGGGCTATCGAAACCGCTTTTTCGTGGCGTTGTAGGTCTATCGGTTTCCGAGTTAGACGCTGGCAGTTTCCAAAATTGTTGAAATGGACTACATTTGACCTTTGATGACCTCTGGCGACCTGATCTTTGACCTGACCTAATAAATGACCGAACTGTTTCCGTCATTATTTCTGACGCTCTTTCGCTTGCCGTTTACTAAGTGTCGCTACGTGGCCCAGGAGCCAAGTAAGATGGGGGGGGGCGTGAAAGCGCCCTCCACCCCTCCCCCAGCACGAAACGGAAAAAACAGGCCACCAGCACGGCGCGGATTAATTATTGGTCCAAGAGTTAACGGCTAGGGCGTTTAGCAGCGCAGCATAGATCCGGGTGGCAAAGTACCCCAGCAAAGGCAGGGCTATGATTGTTCCTTTTAACACGTCTATGAAATAAATGCGTTAAAGTACAACATCCTATTACGACCTGGAAGTTGCGTACTTTAACACGCGCACTATGGAAAGCTAGCACTGACGAAGACGAAGTTCGAAACGCGTTTGCGAAGGCTTTCTATAATACAAGAACTTTATGTTTTAAAAAAGTTTCACTTATCTAGTCATACTTGTCACAATGAACGTTCAACATAATTCAGCATATCACTTATTGTCGTGAATGAGTGGGCTATGTTATTAAGCGTTTTGGTATGATGTCAATAACAAGTAGAGATTGTTAACCCTCGCCAAGCGAGGGCCTTTTCCATAACACGGACGGCGAGGGGGGTTGGTAGGACCCCCCCTCGCAATTGGCTCATATGGCACTTAGAAACGCCAAATTCACAGGGTAGGTGGGTCCATAGGAGATCTCGCCCCTGTGAAAGTTTGGTGACTCTACGTCAATATTTAGGGAGGTTTTTGGGGTATGAGTGCAAAAATTTTGCTAAAACATGTTAAAAGTTTTTCGCTTATAACTTTTTATAAAGATATTTGTAAAGATAGAGCAAAAATAAAAGCACCAGTGAACTCAGGAATTCAGTTGCCGCTAAGCTAGTCCAATTTTCCCCTGAGCTTGTACCGGTTTTTGTGACCTGGTGACCTGATCTGAAAAGACTGGGACTTCAAATTTTCAGGAAAGGTGCGAAAATTTTGCCCCAGAGGGAATACCAAATTTGGCGGCGCGTTTTTACGTTATTTGCAAAAAACCTTAGGGGGGTTGCATCAACCCCCCTCGTCGGGTGAGGGTTAAGTTGTGCGTGTAACATGCATCTACAATGTAGACAATAAGTAATTGCTGAGTTCCGTGTTATCCCGGCAAAACTCACTAACCCAGTGCGTGTAAAATAAATTACTATATCACTAACCACAAGCGTGTTTGGTCAATTTACCGCGCTTTGGGTTAAAGGAAAAGGGCCACCTTTAACATGGGGATTGAAACTGAGATAGCCATCTTGTAGCCCGTGTTCGAAAACCAAACTGTCTACCTCCTTACGGCCGATTTCGGCCTCCATTCGTAGTTATCGGCAATTTTAAAAGAAAATACGCCAGGAATGCGTTCTTATCCCTGGAATGCGTTCTTATCCGACAATACAGCCACCCGCGGCGAGGCTTTGGTTTTTTACCAATCAGCTCCAACCAGCTCAGCTTTAACCAATCAGCTTATCTGACACAATCCGACGAGTCTGTCTTCTGAACGCTGATTGGCTTGAGTGTGACGTCATCGCTATGCCATCATACAGTAGGTGCCGTAGAGAGTATCAACATAGTACCAATATGTTAAATAGTTTTAAATACTTTTTAGCGAATTGTGCACTTCTGGCACCAGTTTTAAAAAGAAAATGAAAAATAATAATGTCAAAATGAAAAACAACGATTTCTTCATATTTCACGAAGGTGGCCCTTTTCCTTTAATCAGATTTCGCCGCAATATCACGGGTTAGTATTTTTTAAATGTGTATTTGGTTTCATCGACGTTCATCCACCATTGTCCCCGTCGAATCGAGCCTCTCCCCATCGTTTCGCTCAGACGCCTTCCTCTTTCACAGATTGACTGTGGGCAGCGCGGAGCCCTCCCAGTCTTGACGTGCGGAGCCCTCCCAGTCTCGACGTGCGGAGCCCTCCCAGTCACGACCTACGGCCGACGGCAGCGGGATGGGTCTCACGCCGGCGCCGTCCCCGTCGTCCCGGGGCGCGCGGCCCGAGCGGCAGGCACTGGTGGTGTTCGTCCCTGCGGAGAACCTGCGCCGCGTCTGCGCCGTGCCGCTGGAGCTGCTGGCGGCCATGCTGCTGCTGCTGGGGATCGCGGTGCGCCCGCGACCGACCGAGTCGCCCTCTGCTGGACAGGAACAGCGGCGAACAGCAGCCTCCAGAGCTGCCAGTCAGAGGTCAGAGAGCAGTCCAAGCAGGTCAGCGCAGAGCTCTCCAGCAGAATCTGCTGATCTCCAAGCTGTGGAGCGTCAACCAGAACTGGGAGCAAGAGACGAGAACTTCTCTGCAGCCACATCAGACACCACATATATCAGTCTACACCACAAGAACGAGTCAGATTCCTCACATCAGTGCTCCGTAGCTGGATGTAGCGCTGGAATCACGGATGAAAAAGCCTCCAGTGTCCCAGATGAGCGTCAGAATCAGGATCGAAGAGATGCCGCTTGCAGTCCACCACACACCCCGGACGGCTCAGAAACTGAAAAGGACAACTCTGATTGCAACGACGATGCTTCGAGTGAGGAGGAGACACCCATCGAGTACGGTCCGTTCTGGCCTTGCTCCGTTCACCCACCGGACCAGCCGCTGCGCTTCTGTGACCTGACAGAGGAGGAGCAGGAGGAGATCATGGATGCTGACCTCGAGGCTTACCGGAAGGCCTGGAGGCCAGGCGACATGAAATACGTCCGCTGGAACCCCGATCCTGACGTCGCAGACGAGGACCAAGGCAAGGAGGCCTTCCATGACGAGAACTACGAGTTCTTCTGGTGGACTCCGACGGCGTACCGTGCTACTGAGGCCAGGTTCGTGTTCTTCCCCGGAAACGTCACCAAGTATCCGGTCCATACTGCGGTGTACTGCCCTGCCTGCGACAGACATGTCTGGGAAGCACTGCCGAAGCGGTGGGAACGTCTGAGCTCGAAACTGCAGCCTGGTCCAGGACAAACTTTCCTTCAAGAGAATGACAACCAGAGCGCGACTGCTTCAGAGAGCTCGGCTGCTCTTTCTCCTCAGAGTAGGGATGCTGGCCAACAAAGCTGGAACGCTCAGCTCGTTGAGTCACCAGTCTCTTCTCTACCGGAAAAGCAGGGTATCGCCGAGGAAGGTCACCCCTCTGAACTGTCGGGGCAGGATGATTCGTTGCCGATCCTCCTGAAAACAAAGCACAAGGAACGGCCAGCTATGTCGGGCTATGAGTTCCTGTACTACCCAAACACCAGTGATCATGGGGTGACACCGATTTTCAGGACCGGAGAAGTCGATCATAGCCAAACTGATCTCCACGGTGACCAAGATGTAGTCAGCGGACCCGTGTGTGGTGGTATATCGGCCACCCACGCTCGGGTGGTAGGATACCTCGCGGATAAGGCCATGCAAACGGATCCTGACGAGAGTGGGGTTATCGAGTGTCAAAACGCAGCGGTCCAGCAGGTGAATGAAGCCCGAGAAACCTGTGATTTGGAGACTGTGGGGGCCGACGACATTCGTGTTAAGTCCGAGTCCTTGCGCGTGGCGAAAATGAGACCATGTGGGCCTTCAGAGATCGGTGAGGAGTTTGAGGAGCGTTCTGTGGATGCCGACTGCCTTGAGCACAGGCTACTGGAATTGCTCAAAAATGCCGGCGATGTAGAATCTTTCATCGGATTTGGTCACCAGGCGCTAGCCGATGAGTCATCACACACCAACACGGATAGCGTGATGGCGCACTATGCTGGCCAAGAAGAGAATGTCTGTTCAGAGCAGCATTTCGATGACTTTGCAGTGGACATCAAAGATGGACAGGTAGAGCGGAGCAACGAAGCCGGAAGCAAGTCAAAGTTGTGCCAAGGTGACTTGCAACCAGCGCTATGTGCGAATCCCAGCGCTGGAAATGCTGACTCAAGTGCTGGCATCTCAAGTCTGGCAAGTCACCAGGATGCTCAACAGGCAAAGAAATCTCAGAGTCAGAAAGGTTCATCACGGAAACGCAAAAACCGGAAGGCCCGGAGACTCAATCAGGCGAGACAGGATGCTCTTGTTAAATTGGATTCTGGACCAGGTCGGAACTGTGGGTGCAAGTGCATTTCTTGTAAAGGCTGTTCAAAAGACGAGCAACGAGGACCTGTTGGCGCTTCCCAGCAAGCAGTGCCAGGCGAAGTCGCTGCCACTGTCGAACAACATCCTTCAGTTTCCGTACCCCAGCCCTCTCCATATGATAACAAGACGTGTGACGCAACAGTAGATCCTGGAGAAGAGCTGCCGCGCTTCAGTAACCCGCAAGGTGTTGCAGCAGAAGCTGAAGGGGAAGAGACTCAAAATGCTTCCTACTCTGGTCCTACAAGAGACTACATCGACATTTCTTTCGGTGCTTGTCAGCCCACCAGGGTATCCAGACAGATGCAAGTGGAGACACCTCTATCGAATCGACTTTCGTACGAGCCGCAGGAGAGGGTGAACATTATGGGCATGGACTTCATCCTTAGTGATGGCTGCATTGATCGCCTGGTCGCTAGTGGACTGACTTTTGACGACTTCGTCATCCCTGTAAAAGCTGGAAAACGCACTAAAAATCTGTTCGTGTGGCCGGGATCACCTACGAAGCCTTGTGTTGACCTTGTCCATAATCAGAGTCATCAGAACAGTTCGGGCATTGTTGCGGCAGCAAACCCGGAAACGATTCGTGTGGCCGTAGATGACCAAATAACGAAGTCGAACAGAACTGAGGTCACTGTAGAAGGAAAAGGGCAGTCACTAAACGCGTCACAAGCGGTAATCAGTGGAGGACATTATGAGAGATCTGACAGTGTGGATTGTGAGAGTCTGAGAGGAGGGATGGAAGAGCTTGGCAACGGTCTCACCAAAACTGGAAAACGAAACCTTTCCGAAGATTCTAAGGCCGAAAATCACTATTCAAGAAAGGAATCGCAAGAAGAAACAACGGACATTGAACCCAATTCGACTGACTCAGCTGAAGAAAGGGGTAGACTCAGAAACAAGTCAAAGAAAAGACTTAGGGTGGCAAAAAAGATCCGGAAGAAGGAACTATCAAGTGACCCTTCGTCACCCTTCTCTACCCTGGAGTCGGGATCGTTCAGCTCCGATGAAGACCAGGAGCGAGAACTTCACTTGACCGAGGCAGAGAGTCGTTGTTTGGCCACAAACGAACAGCAGGCAGCCACAGAAAGTGACAAAAATCAGCGAAAAGCATGCAACCTAGATAACATGCAGACACTCGCAAATGACGACGAAACAGGACATGTCGAACATCAGGCTCCAGTCCTTGATGTTCTGTCTCCAGAAGACCAGCTCATTCACAAAGCCAGAATAATGGAAACCCGGCGTCGTTTGAGGGAAGTGCGGCGGGCAAAAAGGACTGCTCAGCTTTTGCGTCAGGTGAGATGCAACTACCTGCACAAAGCTAAAGCAATGAGGGCGAGAAGAGTGCTGCGGCCATCCAGCACAAGCAGGGTCCTGCGGGTAAATGGCATACGTAGAGCGTTTTCTACCAGCACAGGGCATCAGGATGTGCCAAAGGACACCGTTTCTACGTCTAGAGCGCGCTGTTCCTCTCAGCTGTCGAGCAGCTCCACGTTTGGCTCCACACTGGCGTCGGCCTCACCAGAACACCCCACGAGCTCTGCGTGCGATATGGAGAAGCACCACGCTAAGGTGTCCGTCAACAACGGGAACATCATAGAGGTGTACAACACCATGGCGCAGATCGCTGAGGACACCCTCGTCCGAGAGGTAGAAATAGAGCTGCATCCAAAACCATCTCCCGCAACAGTTTCCCACGATGTGTGTGAAACTGAGACTTCTTGCGGACAGAAGACTGTTGAACGAGAAGGACCATCTCCTGAAATCAGAGCAGCTCAGCATGTCGATAGCCACGAAGAAGGCTTCAGAAACGTTCCGCTGAGTCCTCATAGCAAGTCTGATGGTCTTTGGAATGGGCGTTGTCAAGGAGACACTTCAGAGCTGAGTGATTCGAGCGTGGACCTTGAGCCCTACGATCTCGTTGAAGCCACTGGTGAGCAGCACGACACGGCAAAACGTGTCGCATGTGAAAACTCGGGTATTTCAGATAGCCTATCCATTCAAAGTATATTGGAAGAGGACGATTTTCCCCGCGAGTTCGAGAAATCTGCTCTCGGCGAGCTCATCAATCTGGGCGAGGAGTTAGAGGAGCTTGAACAGGAAGCCTCAGAAAATGTTCATTTGCAAACGCCTGAATTCGCTCAAGTTTGTGTGGAGCAGGATCAAAATACTGCCTCAACGTATGATGTTCGCAATTCTCCGTCTGGCAAGGAAAATGAGTGCCGGTTGCCACCGCTAGTGACGAATCGCTCTCTGGAGGCCCTGGAGTGGGACCCCATGTGGATGCGCCCGCCGCCTCTCTCCCCACGCAGTCGCCTGTATGTCATTTTCAGCAAGGCCCCCGGAGGTAAAGATTCTCCCGAGGCACAACCCGATCTGCTCCCTGGAGCTTCCGAGAATCCTCCCGCCGAGTGTCTACACGAGCACTCCGACCCCAACTCTTCTTCGTCGATTGGGTTCTTGCGCCCGAGCGAGGGACGACTGTCTCAGCTGGCGGGCCTGAACCCGAACCAGCTCATCACGTCAGCGTACCTGCAGCCCGAGGATGACCAGCTGGCACACGGTGACCCGGCGCGGCCCTGGGTGCGCCGTCACTCGAGCGTCGAGATCAAAACGCTGGCCGATGCCATCAAGATCCGTCGGATGCGACAGATGCCGGGCATCAGAGGTGTCAGGTGAGTCGGCCTGAACGGGATGCAAGGATTTCGGGGTAGGTTCATTATGGTCAGATTTGGCCGATTAACGCTACTTATATTAATGTTTTTCACCTTTTACAACTAAGTGTCGCAGTCAGAGCATTTTAAAGACTCTATAAGAATCGCAATGACATAGACGTATGAAGAGTGATCGAGACTGTGGAGCAGACTATTTTGAGCACGTTTTCTTGTTTTTCAGGCCACCGCTACCGCCTTTTACGCATGCTTCATACTCTATTTGACAGATCGGCGTGGACATGGTAAGTGGAAAGAAGTTTAAAGTTCGTAAATATAATTAGTTGGAGGGCAAAAGTCTATTTTTACGTACGGCAAAACTAAGGCACAGACTGCATAAATATTACCATGTTTCCATCATGGCCATTCTCTAATTTATGGAAGAAACCTGTTGTATTATTGCTTTATGTATTGATAAAAATACCCTATAAATAAGTGTTAATGTTGAAAGAAGTATAATATTTATAACATATAAGTATAGAATGAAGATAAATGATAAATAAAGATAAACAAAGATGAACATAAAATTACAAATAATAAATGATTTTTTTCGAACTCGCTGGTTGCTGAAAAACACAATTACATATTTTCGTAAATAACTGACCCTCATTCATTGCGCTTACAGGGCCGATGCATCAGCATCCAGACATCATCGGCGGCAGCATCCGCACAACGTCAAAGGTTCAGATGATCGGCAATCGCAGTCTATGTAGCTGAAGCCGAGGCCAACTCTGTGGCTGCACTACAAATATGCATGAGAGCTGCTCACTGTCCAGCTTCGGATGTGAATACTGAATCCAGCCACCTAACGCAGAAAGCAGACCATCTCTGCTGTCCACCGGATACACTCAGTGTCGCATATATAGTAGCTTGAACTGTGGAATTATTGTGATTGTTCGAGGACTGTCAGACTGTCAGCTGCCAGCTGCCCGACAGCGTCGGTCCCCTGGTGTCTTGCCAATCGTGCAATGATACAAAACTGGCCGAAGCCGCTGATGTGATAGTGGAATAAGACACCGACCGGAGAGCTGATTCGTGCGGAGTTGATGCATCGGGCGCAGAATTTCGCAGAACAAATAACTGTTCCACGTCTTTTCAAAAGAGATATAAGCGCGGGTGAATGAGCTTTGTGCTATGATTGTGATAATGTTTTTCTGACCGACTTTTACCGCAAAACGAGAAAAGACAGCGTTTCAGCAAATTCAGCTCAGCACGTCTTTTACAAGACTTTTACACTCCGTCTTTTACTAAAATGTTCTTAGTCTTTGTGATAACGCGTGTCATTTTGATAATCCATGCATGTTGACTAGAACTAGCCGTGTCTTTTATTGCGCTTACTGGAAACACCATTTGTCCTGGCGTAGGTATAAACGAACTTGGCTGACATCTGTTCCGCACTCGATATGTGTAAAATCGAATGGCACGCTTCAATTTAGTCAGTCTTTAGTCCGGATCATTCAGACAATACATGCATTGATCTATGCGCTGGTGACCTCGTGTTTGCTTGTATGTTGTTGAAAGGTGATGAACAAGAACAATTGAAACTCTGCAAAGCAGCACTAAACGTCATTATGTATATACAGTCCACAGAAGAAGTAATGTGTGGTTTCAGTCATGGGTATGCTCTGCTTCTGAAGCTTAGGAACGATTAGCCAGACTACAATGAAACTTTGAATGTAGCTTATATGTATCGTCACCCTTGCAGCTGCAACTTTAGCTATTGACATCTTCTTTTCGATCACTCCGCATTAAACAATCGCCAGTCAAAGCCAACCGTTGAGATTGGTAAAACCCTACATTACTTTAGCGGTGGGCTGTACCTAGCCCACGCAAAACTGAGGCATATTCCATACCACCACTGACGGGGGGGGGGTCCACAGGCTCCCTACCATCTCCTAAGCTACTTGTCATAAATTCATAATTCAGTGTTTGAACATTTAGGAATTTTCACTTTGGGCTCAGGCCCCAGCTTGGCCTACGAGCTTGGGGCTCATGGATTTTCACGCCCTACTTACTAAAGGGAGGGGTGTTTGACCACCCCCCCCCAAATCGGCTCCTGGGCCACGTAGTGACACGCAGTAAGCGGCGTTCAGAAGAGCGTCAGAAATAAGTACTTTACGCAGGTTATTTGTACGTCTGGTTTAAGAGGTTAGCAGAAGTCATCAATGGTAAAATTTCGTCTTCTACAATAATTTTCGACAAGCTGGCGCACAATTCTCAGAAATAAATAGAGATAGAGCGCCGCAGAAAACCGCATTTGGAGCCCCTTTTAACACTCTTCCTGAGCAATTCTCTCAGATTTGAACCAAGGTTTACGGTTTAGCCTGCAGATGACAAAAACTGCCGAAAGAGACGTTTTTACGGAAACGTTTTTTTTTTTGCATTTACTTTTGAAGCAAAACTTGCACGAGCTTACTATTACCGGCATTATTATTATTACGGCATTATTACCGCTCTTCGATACGCGTCGAATGAACTATGATCTGACATCAGGTCAAGTCATGACCTGTGCGAAAATAGGTGATGTGCATATCAGTCGATCCGCATCGTCCAGCTCTTAGGTGTGAAACACATCTAAGATGTTTTCATCGTTCTATCATGCCTTTATCAAAAGTCGTTAGCGAAAACTACTTGATGCTTTTCGTGACCCGGGATGACCTCGGATAGAAAGACGGGGTCACGAGTGCAATCAATCGATTCGATACTCTATCCTCACCTTACCTGTAACCAGATGTTTGAGTGTTTGGCATGGCGTTCGTCCAAAACAGGCGCATTTTAATGTTCTCCCATTGAATTATAATGGAGAGTTCACATATTTGATGTAACCTTACGTCACGGATATCAAAATTCTAAGAGATGCATTTTATGCATACCCTTATCGATTTCTGAAAGTTTCAAAGTGATTCGTCGATCCGTTCCTCGGTGCAGCTATGGGAAGCATCAGAACTTCTCTGAGGTGTGGTCACTTGACGCGGTGACCTGACCTTTAGAGACCTGATTTAGAAATGTTCACAAGTGCAGAAAAGAGAGTATGATAAGATATGCCAAAAACGGCGGGGTAAGATATTCGCCAAAAACCGCAAACGGGCATATGTGGGACTTTGTGCCGACCTGGGGGTGCCCGGGTAAAGCTAATCCGCCGCCGCCCTAGCGGGGACATTGACCTCTGCCGTCTGTTACGGCTCCAAAGCCAAGCCGGCGTGGAATTGGGAGAGCTCGGGCACCCCAGCTCGGCACAAAGCTCCACCTATGCAAGGGGTTGTTAAACACCCTCCAGCAGCAAAACCGACCGGGTTTTCAAACGGGCCGTAAATTATGCGGCGTATGACCTACGAGGCCTTTGTCATAAAGGATTAAAGAATTAGGTGCAACAAAATAGCGAAAATCTGAAAGTATCTGATGAAGTTTTACTTCATTGGAGTCATGCACCTATCGAAGTGTACACATTTGAGCAGAGGCTGAGCTTCCTTTCTATAAAACTGTTTCTTCTTTTTTATAGATTCAGCAGCTATTTTTGTTTTCGTAGAATACAGTCATTCAGTTTATGAAGCAGCCCTCGGTGCGGAGGTCACCGGAACAGACGCGGGGCCGGTCGGGTCACGGCGGGTCAGTCAGACGGTGACATCGGAGGGGTCGAGGGAGGGGCGGCAGCCAACGGCGTTCTTCGCTCTCCGATCTTTGACGGGAAGAATCGTTTTGTAAGTATCTACGCTGAATTCTATCTATATGTATTTTACGGGGGATTAAACTGTTCAGACAATTGCCATTCTCTTAATGTTTAGCTTCCTACCTATTGGTCGCTCAGTTGACCGATTTCTGCAACACATTTTGTTTTTTTGGTAATTAACTTTCATTACTATCTGCTTTAGACGTGAATAGCACATCCAAACTAGTAATAATCGATCGTAAAGTGATAGTTTGAGCACAATTATGAGCTTCCTTGAATGACAATATGCAATATGCATAAATTTTGCGGCATTACGTCATATTATGGATTGCTGTTTGGCTTGGCACGCTGCAATCGCATGCCACCTACGTAACAAGAGTCGTGATGCTCGAAAATACCCGATAAAATCGCTAAATTGACGTGGAGCCAGTGAAGCATTCTGCTGACGGCCCACGCGCCAGACAGCTGCATGAGCGACCGGGTACCCACGCACGGTGCCGACTTACGGCGCCATTACGATCGTCACAGTCCAGTACGTCAGCGGGCAGCCGGGAGTCGGGATTACGCTCCGGGTACTGATTAACCTCGTGGGCGTACACATATGCGGCTTTTCATAAGAGGAGAATGTAAATGTGCACTGCGCAGGTATTCAGATGATGTGTTGCACGCCCTCTGCGGTAGCACAAAGAGGTGCGATTTAATTGAGTTATTTTAGTAATCGACTTATGGTGCTTACATGGGTTTAAATTATGTCGCCCGAGCTTGCTGTGCACTTATATTGTTCCACCTACGATCTACATTGCCGCAAAGTATAGGTCTGATAATTCCTCTGCGGAAATATTGTTGTCTCGGGGGGTCCTTTGACCTGAAGTCGTTTTGTGGGACGCCTCTGACCTGTTTGCATGCGCGTCCGTGCAGACTCGCCGGCGATGCGCCGTCCCCGGGTCAGCCAGTCGGCCCCCGCGGCTGCCAAGGGCCCGCCGGATCCCGAGTGGAGCCTGATCGACTCCAGTCTGGTGATGTTGGTCAGCATCAGCCTGGGCTTCAACTGGGCGCGCTGGTTCTGCGAGGGCGCCGAGGACGGCTGGCAGTTCAGCTGGCCGCTGCAGCTGGCGCTCTGCTGGTCGGCCTGGCCGCTGCGCAAACACCTGCCGCTGCCGGTGCTGGGCGTGCCGCTGGAGCGCGGCTACTCGCTGGCGGCGGCGCTGCTGCCGGCGCGCCCGCTGCGCTGGCTCTGTCCCGACCTGTGGCTGGCGCTGCTGCTACTCTACAGACTCGGACTGACCATGCCGCCTCTGATGGCCGCCCGCATCACCGAGCTGAGATCGGCCACCATGCAGTGCTTCCCAGAAAACTGGCAGCCCGACCAGCAGATCGTCACCACTGTCGTCAAAATTTAACAACTAACACCGGCGCTGGACCGACTAACACCGACAAGAGGCAGCTACTGTGCGCGTCGCGCGCCGCTCAGGAGCGGGGCAGCGATGCGCATCTGATCTCGACACTCTTTCAAATGTCTTTCTCCGATCTCATCGTTTGATCTCACCCGTCGGTTGGTTTGGCATTAATGCGTTGGTTTGCTCATTTTACTCATCACTTTTATTAACATTGACTTTTTTTTATTCCTTTTAGACCACTATTTTGGCGACTTTGTTATTTCTGGCTTGTTTTATGCTTTTGGCACCGTTCCAGACAAATCGTCTGTGATCATTGACGAAGCTGAATAAAAAACTAAGCTTCTGAATGTGCTTTCATCAGTGTCTGCACAATTTGCACCTTACAGTGAAGAGATAGCCTGAGATGAATATCCTACATCGTTGTTCTGCTGGAGGAATGTTTGAAGTCGTTCCTTTACTAACGACATCCGACACATGGAATGGAGTCCATTATTTATCACGGCCAGCGACAGGCCAACACGCGACAAGAGTGTCTCCGGCACGATAAGATAATGTTAAATGATCGCACTCTAGCTGAATGCATAATGCCGCGAGACGCACCTCGGCTCGGAATACTTATTCACTATTTCCTGGAGAAGCAGGCGGGCACTGCAGAGTCAAACACTATTGAGTTATTGTCTATAAGAGAACCATTAGAGTTTCGACAGGTTGATGGCCGGTATTTTATTCTCGCCCACTCTCTCGATGTAGTATGCAGGTCAACATACCAGTGCAGACGAAGCCAGAGAGGACCGAGAGCTGTCTCTCCATTAGCTTACGTCAACTGCATTTATATAAATCAGCCGGCCCTGTGTCGTGTCCAGAATGCACTTCCACACAGCCGCCAGGGACGACTCAATTGCATTGCGTGATAGCCGTCACTCAGAAACGTCATGGGGCTATCTCCCAGATAAATAACGCCGATATATTTCAAAGGCAGCCTTCACCTTTCAGGTACGGCACTGAGCACAGTTTTTTGGGCATATTCCAAACCAGCTTTATTTCAAATATTCAGCGATTCGGATCCGATGTTATTACAAATGACAAATGTCGATGCTGTAAAATCAATTTGTTTTACGGAGGTGATAAATGTGTTGCCAGTATTGCCTTTGTGAGCGCCGACTTCATGTCGTTAGCTTCCTGGTCATGTTTTGCAGTCTCCATGCAGTTAGCTTCATGTTCGGTCTCCATGTTGTTAGATTCTTCTTTCTTAGCCATGGTTGTAGTCTCCATCCTGCTAGCTTCCTAGCCATGATTGCAGTCTCCAACTTGTTAGCTTTCTGGTCATGACTGCATTCTCCGTCCTGTTAGCTTCCTGGACATGGTTGCAGTCTCCACCCTGTTATCTTCCTAGCCATTTTTGCAGTCTCCAGCTATCGCCCAAATCGG